AAATAGGTTGTCCAAATCTTTAAGGAAACTTGAAACCAGTTTTCAATAGGATTTAATTTCCTTATTCTAATACAACTCTTGTATTTAGAAGATTAAATTTATTTGTACCACAAGTCTCTCAAATTTAATTTATCTTACAAATTAAACTATAAGTTATAAAAACTTATTTTTCAACCCCCTATTCAAAATCCTTTAATCCAAACAAAGAAATTCTTAATGTGTGTGACCTATTAAATTCTCGTACATGTTGGCAATAAGTATGAATTATAATTTCTAATAAGTAAGAACTAAATAAATTAAAACTATATTTAATTTATTATTGATTCCATTAATCAATCAACTCATTCTTATATATGAAGATTGACATCTAGCAATGCATTATGATTACTCAAATGAGAAAAGTCAAGTGGATGACTTCACTTTTCAGTAAACGTTACCATGTAACTAATATCCTTTCACCATTCTTATCTCACATTAGTCTAGGAACAGATTACGTCTATTCCATTATGTGATTACTATTAATTTTTTGTATCAAAATATAATTCTAATGAAACAATACTTAGAAACACTTTCTAAAATCATTTCCACTTAGTGTTAATTGTTTTAAATGATACTTCTACAAGTATCCAACCATGAGATAACTCCTGTTCCGTAAGAGGTGGTAAATCCTTAAAAATTATTCACTACCTTTTCATTTCTCAAGTATATGCCGATATGCTAATTATGTGAGTATTTCCAATTACGGGAGTAATCATATAGCAAACAAAATATAATTATCTATATTCAAAATATTATGATAACCTAAAATCTAAAGATCATTTACACAAACGTCACTTAGAGACTAATCTTGTGACACTTTAAGGATATTTCTATGTAGATCAATCTAGCAAATTTAATCATCTTATCAAGTACTCATATATTAATTTAGGTATTTCCCACACTGTAGTAGATAATATCTACCACTTCTCTTATAGACGAGGCATAGTATACACTAGTTTAACCGTATTAATAATGACCTATCTTGTTAATACTTTGATTAGAGATATATAAGAATAAATCTTGTTAACAATCGCCTATCTTGTTAATATACTAGTTTAATCGTATTAATAATGGCCAATCTTATTAATATTTTGACTAGAGATATATAAGAATAAATCTTATCTATATTTGAATGAACCTTACTATCATAACTTTTATGATTTTATTAATTAGATTTATTTTAATGAATTTGTCATACAAATATAAATATTTAAGCAATCAATATGATAAAAATATAATTTACTATAGCATAAATAGTTCAAGTGAACATTAAGCCGTAGAAGTAAATTGATTTTAGGGCATACACACTTTTAATCTCATAAGTTTAAGACCAAATGAGCTCACATGGCTATCATGTTTCTTTTAACATAAGTTTTAGTAAATGGATCAAGTATTATGTCATCCACATGTGCTTTTTCTATCTTTACTTTTTACTCTTATTCCTACCAATGATTCTCAAATCATATGATAACACCTTAACAAATCTATGGATTTATAATAAAACCTTGGTTCATTTGTTAGGGCAGATTTCCATTATAATGGCAGTACAAGATGAAAAGACTTCTAATAGAGAGAACCAATTCAAACTCATAACTGAATTTGTAGATCCAAATGCTTTCTTTACCACTTTTTGAGTAGCAACTTGTTAAGGTTTAATTGTAGAAATTTTGTTTGAAACTTTTTCAACATATAACACTAAAATTATGAATAAATGCATAATTACTCTTTGTGGGATTGTTTGATGCAGATTTGTCCAATTCGTGCCATATCACTGCTGCTTAGTCTAAGTGTTCGTTATTGTCTACGGTTCTAGGTGCTATTGAGAACGCCCATTCAACCCTAACCATTTACTCCCAAACTTTAGGCCAGAGAAGCGCTACAACTTAGTAGTCGATAGGATTAAGCTTTTTAAAAAAAAAAAATTTACACAGAACTTTTGTGACGATATTAAAAAAGAAAAAAAAAAGACTCTTTCCCATCAGTACATTTGAGGATAGATTAAGTTGGTTTTTTATTTTCTATAGATTAAATTGTTTTCCTTTTTGGGTCTTTTGTGATAAGAAATTTGGGCAACATTCTCGTGCAATTGAAACCTCTATTTATACTTTCGGCATTGTTGCAAACCAGTTCTTCAGATGGATCTTTTCAAGCCATAACAAATTACAGCTATATTTGCTATAGTATTAGCCACCTATCCTACACGATATATTGCAAGTGGACCACGAGAACAACTTCTGCAAACACACCTCTATTGCAAAAATATAATAATGAAAGAGAAAAAAGAGGGCAAATAATACTAGCACTTCAAAAGAAAAATTGATAGATGTCAAATCTATGCAATAATAAAAACCTACTCAAGAAAAATGAAAATTTGCATATAATGATGAGTTGGGTCGTTTTCATAAGGACTAGGAAAAAGTTGTCTCTTTTTAGAGTAAAAGTCACGGGGGGATTTTCGGTGAATTTAAGAACAACTAATTAACTAATTGAGAAAAACAATTCACAAAATTAAACAGGAATTAAGTCAACCGAAGATACTACTCTAGCTAAAAGTGTAATTTTCGGTCCACACAGCTAATCATCGATGCAAGAATAATTTAATTATTCCTTAATAGATTGGTTAGAGCATCAATAAGTTCTGACAGCTAACTTTTCTTTACTTTATTTGTAGTCAAGATACGACTGTTAACTATTTCCTTAACCAAGAAATAACCTTAACTATGATCGTAAGATTTAATTCGCGATTGCATTAAAAATTAGAAAAATTCAACCCAAACCGACAAACACAGTATGAAGGTTTGTTTAAATTAGATCATACGTTTCCCTAACATAAGACCAATCACGCTAGTCGCCACTAATATCAACTAATCAAATAATTATGGATTTAATTGATTAATATGGCTGTAGATTATTAGGTTAATTCAAATATCGGGTCCGTGATATTCAAATAACAAAATAATTATAAGAAATTAAATCAGAAAACGTACGAATAACAATTAATTAAAAGAAATAATTGAAAATCAATTCGATCCTATAGATATTTGAAACCGCATTTTCAAGTTGACCCTTCACTAGAAAAAGAATTTAGTTGCTCTCCATTAAGAACAAACCAAGCAATTTCATTGAAGGAAATCGCATGAGCATTGGACAAAAGAAAAAAAACTGAAGAAAAGAAAAGTCGTAGAGAAAAGCTCTCTATTTTTAGTCTCGACTAGTATATCCTCTAGCGGGACCAGGGATGAACTTTAAAGTCACGAAAAGCAAAAGCAAAGTCCCTCCCCCTCACGTTACTAATTTTCCAAACTAGTACTACTACTACTAATACTTCTAATTTCCTATAAAAGAAATATTTCCTAAATTGACAAAAGACAATCTAAATAGTTTCCAATACAATTTGGAAACATGCTTCTTTAGTCTTCAACTTGAACTGGAAATTACCATGCACGCGAGTCCCATCTCTCCGGACTTGAAGGTTAGCTTTAGGTGCGGCCACGCGAAATAGGTTAAGAATCTTTATTTAAGTCACTTTTCATTCTTTTTCTTGCCATATTCTTGAAATTAGCATCGGTTGCCAAATATAAGTAGAATCCATCAATTATTACAATAATTTGGCCAAAACCAAGGGAAAATATTCATAAATTTAAAACCAATTACGCACCCTATCAAAAATATTTCAAGTACATCTTTTTTTTTGGCTTAATAACATGACACAAAAACTTACAAAATTGTTTAGGAAAAAATTGCCCGTCAATACATATATATTAGTAACTTTCTCTAGTTTGTTTCTTGAAATCACTTAGTTTTCCCTGCACTTCAGTTAGTTTTAGATTGTTGTATAACTAATGATAGAGGAAATTCCTAACAGCAATGATCGCTTGTTTGGTTGTCTATGAATAAAGTACTAATTTTTTATTTTTGAGTTGTTTATTATTTTTGGGATTGTTCATTATTTTTGGGTTAATTTTTACAACTTTAAAAAATACTGGAGTTCTTTTAAAAAAAATAAAACTTTGTAGCTAATAGTGTAGAAGTCTGCATAAAAGTAGCGCAAAATGATTATTAAACTATATTTTGAGGATAATTTTGACATTTAAATTGTTAGAAAGTTTACGTTATGAGTGTTATGTTATTTTCAATAATAATGAAAAAAGGTAGAATACTTGGAGCTTTTTTTTTTCTTTTTTGAAGTGCTAATATCATTTACCAACACGAAATGGAGACACGAAAGTAACTTCAATTTGTCAATATAATAAACTCTGAGCAAGGAATATGGGCATGGCAATGTGCCACTCAAATGAATGACACCATAGCTTACTGAGCATAAATACTTAGGGGGGCTTGGTTCTTGCTTTGGAATTGGAAAGGGAAATGAAATAATTTCTAGAGGGCCCACTAATGAGGGTTTTGGTCAATTCCTCCCAATTTGGTGGGGAATCATGAATAGCCAAATTTTAAGTTATAATTCCAATATTTCAATTCTCATTGCACTGAACCAAGCACGTAGTATTGAAATTATTGTAATTTCAAGTATCAAAACTCCTAATCCAAGCGGCCCCTTAGTTGTGGGTCGGAAGGATGGGCAACCACATAGAACATGCTGCGGTTGCAACTGCACCAGTCTCGAATAGCAGAAGATTCCCAGAAGATTAGACTCGAAGTGCAAAAATCTTTTGTTGGACCAAACTAGCCACAGTAAAAGATAACGTTTGGGCAGTATTAGTTTGACATGTAATTCCTCATTTACTCAATAATAAGACCAGAAATTAAGAGTCACAGCCATCCTTACTTCATAGGCTGGGGAAAGAAGGGGCAGGGGATGGGAAGGAAGTGGATAATAGCCGGTATGGATTTTGCCTATAAAAGCCTATGTTACAAGTGGTGTGGCATGCCCTATCTTTTTTTTTTCAACAAACGAGTGTGGCATGCCCTATCAAGTACAAAATTTGTTGAGTTGCATAACAATGGCTATACTTTCCATTTTTTTCTCTGTGGCTTTTCTTCCTCATTTGTTACCCATAGATCCATATTCAAAGTATACCCAACTCAATCTTCCTCCAGGATCTATAGGCCGTGAGTCGGTTGCCTTAGATCGATTTAATCAAGGACCTTATGTTGGTGTACTTGATGGCACTATTCTTAAGTACAAAGGTCCAAATATCGGTTTTGTGTTTTTTGCATATACTCCACGTGGATTGCATTTTCTATAATTTTTTGTAGAAAAAATACTGTAGCGATTTGATGTATGTGAGGAAAAAAGATAATAGGAAAATGTGATCATGGAAAATGATGCAATTTTTTGGCGGAAATTGACTATCCAAACGGAGCCACCATGGAATTGTAGGGACTACTTAATTAGTCGACTTTTCAATCATGCTAAAGTAGTAAAGAGGGCCTCTAATATAGTTTATTAACTTAAAATGTTAGACAAATTTTATTGTCCTTTCAGGGAATTATTCTTTTAATTTCTATCCCTCAATGATGATAATTGTTCATATGTTAAATAATTGAAATTGTTACAATTTAAGAGTTCAAAAAACTTATTTCACCATCCAACGGTAAATTTAACCCGACAATATGATAACAAAAGAACAGTAGAATCTTCAACTTACATTATAGCCAACGATTACTTAATTTTGGCAATAGATAACAAAAAATGAATCAGCTGGGAACATTTCATTAAACACCAAGTACTTAATTTAACATGATCAGGGATTTAGCATGGCTAAAAATAGAAGGCTTAATTACATGTTAGATATTTTTGTTAAGTATCTTCTTTTGTCATTAGGTATTTTTTTCCCCCTTTGTTTAGGATCAGGGAACTCTGTGATGGTACGACAGACCCAAATTTGGGGCCTATTTGCGGAAGGCCATTTGGATTTAGCTTCAACCTTGTAACCGGATTTCTCTACCTTGTTGATGTATTTCTTGGCCTTTTTAAAGTTGGAACTGAAGGTGGAAATGCTACACTGGTTGCCAACAGTGCAGGGGGTGTGCCATTTCACTTCCTGAATGGTGTTGATGTTGATCAATTCACAGGAGATGTCTATTTTACTGATGCTAGCCAGACCATTGATATAAGGTATGTGATTAGTTCTTGGAAAAAAGTTCCCAAGTCCTAGTGAGGATATTTCTTTTAGTCCTTGATAGTTTATGTTGATTTATTACTGGGTTTTTTTTTATTTGTTTTTTGGTCCCCTTGCTGCCAAAGTATGGAATTTGTAAAAATAAGCCAAGCTAAAAGTGCATTGTTTTTTTCATGATTTTTGGAATATGAAAGATGATTGTGTACAGAACTTGTTAGCGACAAAAAGCCACCCAACTAAAACTTTTGTTGAAACATGCATGTGGAGTTAATACTTAATAGACCAATTCTGAAGTTTGAAAAGAAAAATCAAAGTTTATATGGTTAGGCACTAGTGGGGGAGGAATTATTAGGTTTCACCAAATTTTTATTTAGTGTCAATCTGAAATCAAAGAATTGAAAAGGAAAGCTTAAAGGAGCTTGATTTTTTCGCAGAAATATCACATCCGGGAATTATGTTCCTGATTCCACTGGAAGGTTACTCAAATATAGTCCTATAACAGGAGAGGCTTTTCTTTGCCAGGAGGACCTGTAATTAGTGTTGATCTCAAATTTGTATTATTTTCCGAGTTTAGCAATAGAAGAATTATGAAGTATTGGCTCACAGGAAACAAAGCAAACACAGTTGAAGTTCTATTATACTTGCCAGGAAATCCAATCAAAATTAAGAAGGCCCCTGAGCCAGGAGAATTTTGGGTTGCAGTGAACATAATTGTTCATCAACCAACTTCTGTTACACCATTAGGTTTCAAATTTAATTCAACTGGTGGAATTCTGCTAATAAAGGAATTTGAAGGGCAATATAACAATATCCACCAGTTGATTGCTGTACAAGAATACATTGGAGGCAAATTATACATTGGTTCAAGGGAAGCAAAGTTTGTTGGCATTCACAGTAAATGGTAGGTAGGTAACACGACAATTTTGGATGGAATTTGCTGTTAGGAACAGAATGTGAAATAATGTACCAAGATTAAACTCAAAATATTTTTCTGTATCTTGGTAGGTGTTATTGTCGATGGAGCTTAATCTTTTGATTTGTAGACAATAAGTGCTAAGGGCATGCACATTATACATGTGCAATTCAAGAAAAACCAAGTTTGCGGTATGAACTAAGTTCGTAATATATAGTTTTTCATAATTAAAGCAAATTTCCATGAAAAGATAGTTATTCATTAGTTATAATACTCAATTAGTGATAATATTGAATACATGCACTTAATTAGTTAGTTAAGGCAAGAATGAAATTTTTTTTTTTTTTCCAAAATGATTAAAGAGGAAGAGAGACTCGTGCTAAAGGGTACTCTCCCTTTAGCTGAGTATATGATGTTCTTTTCTCCATTTTTTTTTTTTTTTTTTGGAAAGTGGATGTATGACATTTACGTTCCATCTTTACTATTACAAGTGAAACCATTAACAAATACAAAAAGAAAATGTATTAAATTTAGAAAATAGCAAAAAATCGTCCCTCACATTTTAAGGTTGTCATTTTTTAATCTCACATGTAAAATGATGCATTTTCATCCCCACAAATTTAAGTGCATCATTTTGGTTCCTGAGCACAATTTGAAACATAAGTTTTCTTGGGAAAAGTAATGTGCAGACCACGTTACCCTATTGCAATCCAAGGAGAAAACCTGAAAAAGCAGACACTCATAACTAACTTGAGTTGAAAAAATACTGTGGATTTGAGATAATTTAGTGCAAGTGATTTCAATTCGGGATGTGTAAACAACAAAGCCTAGATTGATCAGCACAGGGATACCAAGATTAGCATGCAAAATAAGAACTTAGGATAGCAAGATTAGCACGCATAATAAGGACTTACATTCAATTACGTAAACAAAGCTTGTTAAATCAACAAATGCAACATGACAGTTTCTGGCGCGACGAGACCACGGAGCCACTTAGGAGTGGTAATTTTTGGCTTGGCATGGCATGACACGACAATGCTAATTGAACATGACTTGAAAATAACAGGTTTTAACATGACTCGAACACTTTAGTGAGTCATTATTGTGCTAACCTGTTAGTGACACGAATATAAGCGAGTTAGGTTAATTCGCAGGTTAACACACTAATCCAATAGAGTGCTTGCTTTATGATAATAATTAAACATTACCGAAGCCATTTTGAGTATGTAATAAAAATTAACAACAATAAAATTTGGCTTGAAGATTTCAATTAGAAGTTTTAAAAACTCACAAGTTTATATCTTATCATATATGGAACTATATGATCATGCTTCTAAAAGGTTGATTAATTGGATTGCATTTTTTAGAGAGTTTTTGGAGAAAAATTACTGTAGCACTTTTTAAAATGTGATATATATGAGATAAAAGGTGATTAAAAAATGTGTAAAAGAAATATTAGCAAAAAATTTTAAAAAAAAAATTCAAAAAATATTAGCAATCCAAATAAGGCCAAATTGTAACTTATATTATGCTTGGAAAGCTTCATCATCTATTATTTTATGAATGTTTTGAAATCTTTAAATTTTGTGTTGACTATATATTTTAAAAAAAATTTGTCATTGGTTTTAATAACAACAACATTAAATCAATTATATGATCAAATCGGTTAAAATAAGTGATTAAAATGCTAGACTATTTTTAGCATAGATTAGTAGGTAGATTTGGCAAAATAATGCATCATATGAAAACTTATGAAGATTTGGCAAGATTTGGTTATAACACGATAAGATACAACATAAAAGTCTAATGAGTTAGGTTAGGATTGAGATTTTTTGACACGAACACGATAACGACACGACACGTTAAGTATATGGCATGCCCCATTGCCCCATTCAAGGAACTCCCTTTGGTGGTTCCCTTTGTGTAGTTTTGGACTTCTAGTTGAAAAGATGGGAAAGAAAATTCCAAATAGTAATATAACCTGAATGCAATTCATTCTTGACAAGGAAAAATACAAATACAGATAGGCTTATGCACGAAAAAGGAAAAATTAGTGCACAAAAACAAATCTGCATAAGATTCGTTTGAAAAAAGATCACTAATTAGTTACCACAAATTCGTGGAACTGTCCATGATTGTGGCTTGGCTGTCCTTTCTTCAATTGGCAATGCCATGTATTTCTTCCAATCCTCAATTCCTAAGATCATGAATCTTATCTGAACCAACACAACAATTTGCATGCATTGTGCAAACAAGATTAAGATCTTTACTTGGCTTACAAAATCCACCAAAGAAAGCTGTGTCCAAGAACTCAATCTCGAGTCCAATTTTACTTATGAGAGGATCACGCCTTATCCCATTAAACACGTCTTGATCATTCCTACCTGGAATTCTGCCCTTTGATTTGTACCAAAACTTGTAAAATTTGATAGTTTTTTCATTTGATTTAACATAGTAGAAGCCTGTATTTGCAATGTTGTTCGAATCAGTAGAGTTATCCCCGTAGTGATCACTTGAAACTTGAATATCTGCATCTCTATAAAAATGTGAAAATGGCTCTCGAAGCCACAGTATATCGACATCCTGTTGAAAAGAATAGAAAAAATTACCAACAAAAATTTCAGCTAATAACTTAAATAATACGCATCAAATCATATTAGCTCATTTAAACTTTAGAGCAACGACCCCTTTTTTTTGGTCTTTTGCTAAGAGCAAATGACAGACTAAAGTCGGTTTTTCAAGCATAGACTTGTATATTCTCCGAAGAAGAATAAAAATAGCAATGTTTCTTTAATTAAAACTACGCAAAATAACAATAATGACATAAATAACCCCATAAATCACAATATTTATGTAATTTCAAGTAAAGAACACAAATTTCTGGTATATAACTCTCATCACTATACTATAGTAAACCAAAACCAATGTGTTTTTATTTTCCTCAAATTTGGTGCAACTTCAACTCTTACTGTGGATCAATAGCATCAAAAGTCACACCCAACTCTGACTGATACATGATATATAAGACGAATTAAATCCATACAGCTTTATTTCAAATCCATACTTTTAATGCATTGATGACTTGTATTATTAGCATCGAAATTTCCGAAGAACAATCTGCAAAAACTCCATCCTCCTCCACATCATCTTCAAATAATCTGGGGTCATAAAATTTGCCTCACCAGAAAAATCAACCCCTTCCGTGCTAAGTGCATTGCAATGGGGGTGCAATTCCTTGCAACGGGAGTATGCCTTTGGTCTAAAGCTACTACTAGTACATGACACAAGAGCCTTTGGGTTCCATTTCCAATTTTGAAGCTCTCAAGAAAGAGATCAAATACTGAGTTTGGAGAAATCCATGCTGCATTTGGTGTTGCTATTATGACAGTTTTGTTTGCCATGGCTGCTTTGTCTAACACTTTATCCAACTTGCTTTCTTCATAATCTTGATTGACCTTTAATGAAAAAAATAATAATGAGATCCAAATTGTCTTAGAAATCGGCTTTGCTAGATATAATTAATCTTTAAGATTTTGCTAATCAATGCCCTTAAGCATTCTAATCGGAATTAGTTTATGTTTTACTCTGGTTAAAACACATAAGTTTGGGTGTATATTATGCACACTCACGTCTATTTCCCTTACATTTATTTTTTTCAATTTAATTTTGTTTTTAATTAATATAACACGTTGGGTCCTAGTTTAAGTTATACCATAGAAGAATTCGTTAAAAATCCTTGATTGTATGTTACAGGATACGAGACAACAAATCACGACATTTATCAGTTGATTTTACTCAATATTAAAAAGATGGAAGTATAAGTGAGAAATCTGGATTCTTCTAGGTAACTCAATCATCAAAATCTGAATTTATTTCCAAGCCAATTTTTCAGTTAATAAAGAAATCTAAGATGCTCACAACTACGAGACATTTTTTTTTTCAAGAACATATAACTTGCCACTACTATATCACATTCATTATCCTCTTGCTTAAAATACATTTCCTAACGAAATTTTTAAAATTAACACTTGGAAATAATTTGTTGTGGACCTTTGGTAGCTTTGGTAAACTATGCTTCATAACTTGCAGCAATCATTAATTGGGGGTGTACCTTTATTGACTTTCACTGCTGTATAGGACTCTCTAGAATTAAAAAAAAAAAAAGAAAACAAAAGAAAAAAATGCAATTATATGAGCATAAACTAACTAAAATCACACTGAACCTTAAGTAATGGAGGCCAAGCTTGCCGGAATTGGCTCCTTTTTTTAATTTTTTAAGGAGGGAATAGACATTTTGCATGAGAGGATGTAATACACATGTAATATTTGAACACATACAATTTTGAATTGTGAGATAAATGAAAATGTTAAATATAATGGTTAAGTTTAGTCAGGTTAATAGAAAACTGTGGCTCTCATTGGTTTAGAATTTTTAGAAGTAAGACAACTTATTAAATCACTGTTAAGCCTTTCTAGGTTTAGCTAGATATTATTTTAATCCAAAAACCTTCGACTATCCTTAATTTTTAAGACACGAGTGGAAATAAAAAAATTAACAAATTATGAACAGCCAGGTGAATATACGACCTTGAAACATACAATTCGAAAACTTCTGCATGAGAAAGTAAATTGTTGTTCCATAAAATAAGCAGTTTTTACTATGAGCGATCCAAATGAATATCTCTTAGTAATTCAAAAATACGTAATTAATTTGCATTACGGATCAGGGAAAAAATTAATCAAAATAAAACTGAACCTACAGTTTTACATGCAATTAAGGCAACCACCAAGTGAATAATGAATAGTTATATGCTCATAGTGTTTAGTTGCATTGTAAATGTTTTAGCTTGAGGTAAGATCATTAAGTTCAATTAGGCAAAATAGGGTACAAAACATTCACATAAAATTCACTTGTACGTGTGTGTATTGGCTGAATATACAACACTACTATGCTTGAGTGTTGAATCTGCGTATGAAGATATGTGATTGTTGAAAAAACTATACAAGTATATGCGTGCTACAAGGTATATACTTAGATAAACTAGGTTTGCCAGCAATCGGCAAATTAAGTGATCAAAATTGAACCAAATCATCTATCTGAGATACCAAACACATAAAAGAATGCTACATGTTGTATGGTTTGATTGAATCTTGATTATAAAGTGTACCATAAGCTGGTAGGTTGTTTATACTAAGTACTTTTCCTGCTTGTATAAGGTTGGACGAGTTGACTTACCAGTGAAGGTAGGGTTTCTTGGGTAGTGTTCCTTGGAGAAGATAAATCTGACATACTACTTGTCCTATTAGCTATCTCAGATCCATTTTGTTGTAAGAATTCATCAGGTGAGTCAGAAGAATTTCCAAGCTCTAAATCCAAAGAAGGTTGGTTTGTTTTTTCAGAGCCCTGAGACAGACTTGACAATGGATTCGGCCAAGTGATAGAGAAGCATTGATTACTATGAGCAGAACTGTAGAGAACAAAGCATGCCACAGCTGCAGCAATGTACATCAGAGAAATTCTAATGATACTTTTACAGGACATGAGGAGATGATATTCCCAGTGGTTGTTGGTGCTTTTCCTGTTCTTCTCGAGGGGGTGGTGGTCGGGATGGTGGCAGGTATTTAATGGTGATATTTGATCGTCATTATCATTGCTCTTGGAAGCACTTCTACCACCTCCTGAGTCCATCTTAAACACTTGAAGAAACTTTATGCTTCTGTGGCAAATGGCAACATAAAATTGCCATTGCTTCTTCTTTGTGTATTGATTTTTTTTTTCCTTTTTGTTTTACCCTCTCACCCCTTCCATATCTTTTGACCTCCAACTGTCAGGTACAAGATTCAAACCCTAAACTTAATAGCGCAGAGAATTCTAAGAGTCCTTTCCTAACCACTTGGTTTATATATTGAACATGAATGAAACATTAGAGAGCCAAAAGTCTATACAATTAAGGCCTAGCTCAAGAAGTGATGAATATTTTAGTCCTATCAATGAATTGAACTGGTTTGGGGTGACAATCCTCGACTAGGTCTTGGTTTTTTCAGCTAAACCTAAAGTTTGAAGGTGGGGAAGGAATTGCACCTAGAGGTACGCTTGTTCAGGAAAAAAAGTAAAGTGAAAAAGAGGTTAGCTTATGGACCAGTCCTCATATTTCTCTTCCTAAATAATTTTCATGTTTTGTTGTTTAGGGACCAAACCCCAAAAATAGGCTTTCTATAGAAGTAATTTTTCATGAAAAAAATATTAATTAAGGTCCAACTATAAAAGGACCAGCCAATGCAACATGTATTGAAGAGCACATAAAAATAGACTTTTTTAAGTGTGGAATTTTTTGTCAAGCATTCTAGCATTAACAATAGTTATTAATTCTGTGTACCGCCAGAACTTGTTTGGTCCACCCTACAAACGATAGGTATTAAAGATAAAAGTGGTTCACTTATATTAGCTTTTATTAATGCTCATTTCTTACTTCACAAATCTGCATCTGCAAGACCACAATCACAAAATTGAACTTCGTTCACAAATATTGAAATACATCCCTCTTTTCTCTGTCTCTGAGTCATAGCAAACTGCATCTGCAACACACATTTCGAAGTATCAGAGCGATGATCTCCAGTTGTGTCTCTCTGCTTTCCTTCTCATCATTCTATGGCTTCTTGGAATATTTAAAAGAAATGCTCTTTACATAATGCTGATAAAGAGTATGTGAACAAAAAGATCGAAGCAAAATCACGCTCAACCTTGAGCTTCTCAGTCAAAACGCCCACCAACTGCTCACAAGATTCTGATGGAGAAAGACAGAAGAAACGGAAATCTGTCATTCAACTCAATTGAACTTGACCAGAATTGTCCTCCCTCAGCCCAAAGGGCATGAACATAATTTATATAGCCCGCCGAAGATCTTAGCATTTATAGCAGGCTGACCATTCATTTATCAAGCTCAAAGGTGGAATAACAATTCTTCTTTTGTTCACTAAGTACTCACCGTGCAGCTCCCCAAAAGGTTATCGAAGACACCTCATCAAATATGGTTAAAAACTTTTGGAAGAGCTTTATTCACTGGACTCTCTTCAGCAGTCTCTCAACCAGAATTTTCTGCTGCACTGCACTCAATGACTCGGATTTCATAATTGCATTTGCAACAAGAATTAAATTTGCTGGAGACTCAGCATTTACCTAGAGAAACACGTGGAGTGTTAGAGGACATTAATGAATGGACAACTGATGAAAAGAATCATGATAAACAAGATGCAACAAACGGATTCATAAGACACATACCCAAACACGGCCATTTAAACCAACTGCTATCTCAAAGGAGAGGTTTTTCCCAAAAGCCTCTAGCACAGGACATGTTGGAGAACTGAGCAGCCTGCAGTAAAGGTAGAAATCAGCCACCAACTAATTTATTCAAGCAATAAATTGCAGAGGAACACTGCATTACGGAAGTCGATTTTGCATGTCAGATTTTCTATATGTGAGAATAAAAATAAAAATAAAAATAAAAAGTGCCTTATTCAAAATCCCAATGATAACATCCCCTAATTCTAGTAGAGGAGGACAACATCTTACATTCTTGATAAGCCAGTTGATGATTCAAACATATAACCATCTTTGAGACGGCCAAATTCAGCAGCCTTTCCACTAGCTACAAATTCAAAACATAAAACAAAAAAAAAATCAAGGAAAAAGCCATTTTGTATTGAAAATTATCAGGAGAAATAATCAGTTCAGCAAAGTCACAAAAATTAAATGTGCCACAATTATGGCTATTAGTTTCTACAAACCATCCATGCATGAAAGCTCAGGGTTCATCCCAACATTTGCCTTGACAACACGGACATAAAGTAGAGTACCAACCTGGAAATAACAGCAAGTTTAAGCAACCTGGAAAAATATGTGCTAATATGCACGCATGTATGAGTGTATGCAAGCATTTTAAAATTAAAAGTATAGTATAAGCTTATATTTTACTCGTTGTCACTTTATATTACACGTAGCAATCACCAAGGATAAAAAAAAGACGAAAGGAATTGGCCCAAGCATGTGGGAGTATAATATGACTTATACTATTACTGAATGTAAATCATACACCACATGTGGCAATGTACAAAATGCTTTAGGCTCCTTCCACGCGAAGAAAAGACGGAAACAAAGAAAGAAAAATGGAAACTAGTCTTTTCCACTCCACATAACAGCAGAAAATTGATCCTTCGTCTGAATAATATGTCGGCTATACCATGTTAGTAGGAGTGTATAGCAGAATATAAAAATGCACCCATAATTGAAACTAGGCCGCCATCAAAGTGAATAATTTGCCAAATGAACTTCTTCAGAAAGAAGAAAGGTTAAGAATTCCAAAATATTATAATACATCTTTGCTGGATAAATATTAATTAAACATTATTTACAAGCGGGTAACATTATGAATTTCCTCTGCAGAAAGAATATAAAATACAATTACATCTTTCCAATTTCAATCATACAACTTAGGAGAGAGAATGTATTCCAAAAATAATTGTCTGAGTTTTGATTTTTTCACGATACACTAAATAGTCTGAAAAACAGCCTCCAATGTTGACAAAAGTAAAAGCTGTTTTTAACTTAATTATGGCATTTAAATTTATTAAGTTCGAAGACGCATATATGTATAAAAATATAGTGTTATTCTTCTTAGTTGATATTTCATTACTAGAAAATGAAGAACTCGATATGTAATGCAACACTTAACTCCAAAAAAATAATAAGATAAAATAAAATAAAAATCATACCTCAAATTTTGGTATGTTCCTCCTTGTTCCACCTTCAAATGCAAGTACAGGCAAAAATGCCAAAGTTGGTCCTTTAATGTCCACAAGAAAGTTCTGCCATGACAGTTATGGTCAAGAACCAAGTGCTTAAAGAGGACGAGTGACAATGAGGCCATCAAATGTATACATGCATCTAAAGTTTGTATACATATATGATTGCTCTTTAGTAGATACAAGTTGTGGAATCATAACCATGTTATAGATATACAAACCTCACTAGTTGTGGTCTCAAGAAATGATATGGGCACGGCAAGAATTTTATCAGATTGTTTCTCTAGATGCAAGTAGAAGCAAAATTTTTCTAATTGTGATCATAATATGTGGCAGGAAACCAGGAGAAGAATCTTTCAGGAAAGAGGAAATAAATCAGTAAGAGATCTTCTGTTGTATAGTGGAAAGCCATGCTACAAGGAATGACCATAACGGCAAGGACAGTTACATGCCCAACAATCTGGAGAACAAGAAGCAAAAGAGAAGGCTATTGGATTATCTTTGTAATGTGATCCTATTAACTCTAATTTGGCTGTTGTGGCATTGTAAGGATAGAAAATACTTTTGAGAAAAAAAGTCTCCAAATTCAGCAGAGTTGGAAGTGGAAAACTCAATCATTTCAAAATATACGTGAATGCATTTTTGAAATTCACTGTCATGCTTGACCTGTAATTTCTAATTTACTTCTTGTATGGACAATGTTGAAAGCCTTCTATTCAATTCCTCAGCACATATATTTTTCATTTCAGCAGAATTAATGGGAAGGAATACCTACTTAATGTTCAAACTCATTTCTTCTATTGAAGAATGAAGTTTACATTCCTCTTTTTTTGTCATTTGGTTCCCCCTTGAGAAAAAGAGAACAGTCCAAATAAAGGGACCTATATGCATATGCATGTATGCCAAAAATCTGAAGGCTAAACAAAATTGCCTGATGATTATGAACCTAAAACTGGATGTGTTTTGGCTCATTAGCATATTTTCTCATAAAACAAAACTTCTACAACAAGTTTAGGGAAGAGAGGAAAGAGTAAATTTCACTGACAAGATAAATGCAGGCTTAATGAAAGCCAAACAAAAGAAATATGGAGTGCTTACATCTGATCTAGAATCTACCACAATCCCAAGAACTGTATCTCCAGCGCAAGGTACATACTGCAAAAAAGAGTGCTCAAATGAAATTCAAAATGTTTTTATGATACAGAAGAAAGTTTTCTTAGACAAGAATCTAAAAGCAAACAGTTTCTTAAACTGAACATCATATTCTTAAACTGAACATCATATCCTGTCTTGGTAACAGTAAAATGACATGGAAAGTTAAAGATTCAAGAGCGCCATCCTTTAGTATTTGTATTCTACAAATAAATTATCAGCTGAAAATCTCATACCAAGCACTTGTAGATATCATTTAGAAAATAAAGAGGCAAGTACGAAAAGTGGATAGAAAAAGAAAAAAGAAACACTAAGAACATTGAGTTCATTAGCGATTACTTTTTCAGTGGGAAGGATTCAACCACATAACCACATAGCCATTGGGGTAAAACTAGAGACATCAAACTCTGACACCAGACATGTAGCTAGTTTCCCAACTTAAGAACCCAATTATCAGCTAAGACATTAGACATATCATCTTCACTAAATGTAACCATTATCATAGTGCATTATGAACCAGAACACACTTATAAAGAAGAGAAAGGGATTGCAATGATGCATAACATCACCCTTCCATATTCTTTGCCACCATGAAGCCCTCAATCCTTCCCAGTTACTCAACTTTTGCACTATGTTGCATAATACTTCCATCAATATAATGGATAAAAAGGGAAGAGAGGAATCCCTTGCCTTAAACCTGTATAGTTATCATATAGATCCTTGGTATCCATTCAGACTGGCTTGTAATCTGATGGTACAGATACAAAAGCAAATCACTGGACCTACTCTTACCGATTCCTTTGCAGCATTAGGCTTTGAAGTTTCCAAATTATGCAGTCAACTCACCCCCCCCCCCTTTTCCCATCAAATATCCACTTTGACGGAACATAATACACTTAGATTATAGGTATCAATGAAGACATCCCTAGATAGTTTGTACACAAAATAAGATATGTAAAGAAACATACATGCATAAAGTTAACAAGAACATTTTCGTGTCAGTTCAAAACTTAATATTTCAAGTACCCAAACAAGTTTATTTCTTGAGAGTTTGAAAACCTTGCCTAGTCTTCTTTTATATGACAAAAAACCCGGGGCAACAGGGCAGTTAAGAACGCGGCAGCCCAGATGTTCCCGGGAAACCAATACACATGCACATACTGCAATTAAGTCCATCTTCACCACACATAATAAAAAAAGGTTAAAGTGTTATGTCCATGCCTACCATATTCAATTAGGTATAGATAATTCCAAAGGGCTATCTGGAAATTTGGGAAAGAAACATGTATAAGTTATCCATATGGAACATTAAAGTCACCTACTTTACAAGTGATATCAAACTTTCTGCTACTAGACAAATCAGATGCAAGTCAAAATATGATAAACAGTGCTCTAAACGATTACTAGTGTAGAACTCGAGGCCCATATTATAACTGCATAGGATGTTCCGCCCACCCCCTCCATCTAGTAATCCTTTATCTAACAAATAAAACCAGGAGGTATATATGCTGAAACTGTGTCATAGCCATGCAGTGATCACCGAAAACAAAAAAGCACAGCCTTTATGTTACTATATTCTCTTCTAATGAAGATTTTACTTCAGAAATCTGAGTCCTAAGTGGCTTTATTAGATCACAACTTAGCATCAACAATTCAATACTCCACTCAGGGGCCAACATTCACCTTCAACAAGATCATTGTAAATGCCATTAATGTGATGGACCAACAGGCTACTCAGTCTTGCTACAATGATATTAGGCATAATACGCATATATATATCTATGTAGAATTTGAGTATTCTCAAACTCTTAGATATTAGACCCACATAAACCTTATTCTGTAAATAAAGAAAAATGTAGTTTCAGGAAATACAAGGACATATGCTAAGATATGGTGGCCAGGATTATCATGTTTAAAATGTTTTAATGATTTGAAACAAATTCTCCCACAACTCATAAAAGAAGAGCAAAAATTCTCCTAATTGAAAACACTTTAACTAGCCACTTTGCACATAATAAAAAGTATTCATCTATTGAAATAAAGTCCACAACATCAGCCTTTCTCAGCAAGCTCATATCTGAGAAATTTAAGCACAAAACTTACCCTTTTCTGAGAGCTTTCAACCCAATACTTATTTGGCTTTGCAAACCTGAGCACTCCCGCTTTTATGGCTGATATAGCATCACCATCCTGAAAATGATAGCAATGCAGCTTAAGTTCTCATTTTCATTCTCTTTCCGCATCTTCACTTAGAATTTTGGGCTCAGGCCACGACGGTTTTAAATAGAGTTGAAGTTGATTTAATCTACTTCTTGAAAAATTTAAAATTTAATGAACAAGACAACAACGGCAAAGACAAAAGACACTTTTCGAGCTTCTGGAAACCTTAAATTCAGCTTGCCCATGAATAGGCAAAAAAACCAAATATTTTAGCATATCATGATTGCCAAAAAAAAAAAAATACAATTAGCTTGAAAGAATATAATGCAAAACTGAACAAAACAGGATCAGATTTTTTTTTGGGTCAATTTCTTATCTTTTCCTTTCCTTCTTCTAATATTGCGGGTTCTTTTGACTGATTACTAGATTTTCAATAATTTCGCAATTAAATAAATTAATCAAAATCGAAATTAAACCACAATAAATTAGGCAGAAAAGAATTGACATTAAAAATCCAAAAATTCAATCAACATAATTGAGAGGGGTAAAGAAAAACCCTAGTGAAACAAAAAACCTGACGGAGGCCGCTGCCGAGCTTAATTGTTTGATTAGTCATTGTTGAAAGATCCAAAACCACATCTCCAGGAACCTTAGACCACCCCAACAAAAACAAGGAAATTAAAAATTTGCGATATTTAACTGAAAAATTGTATACACAATAATTGTACAAAAAAATATTAAAGAGTAGAAAAGACAACTCACCACTTGCTGATCGATGAAATTTGGCGGCGAACTTGAGGGTTTAGATTCCATCTTCCAACTTCAGTTTACAGAGGAGCAGTTCGATATGGTAGGAGGTTTTGCGGTGTCAGTGTGTGATTGTGTACACAGGCAAAACCCAGCGGAAGAAGAGCGCGGGAGGCAAATTGCAGAAGGGTTATTTGGTCATTTCAAAATTTTGAAGGTTGGGTTTTTTTTTCGGGTCAAAAAATTTTTTTTTGACAAAAAAAAAATGAAGAAGCGTTTAGCTTATTCTCATCTGATCTTAATTACTAATCATGATTAGGGACAGGGGACTAGGTTCAAGCAAAAAAAAAGTAAAAACGAAGTCAATCAGAAATTGAAAAACGTGATAATCCGAAAATTGCAAAGCTATATGTCATAAATACATCAAAGCTGCGGATTTTCTAGCTTAATTCGCGCAACGGATCTTCTGTCACACCTCCTGCGTGACTGCGTCATTCTTTGTTTCACTTTTTATTATTTTGCTATTTTTCTTCTATAAATATAATATTTTAGTTCTTTTTCATTTTCTTAAGATTGTTAACTATTGATTGAGAAATATACAAAATTTAAAGAACTCAAAAATTCAAAATGCATAAAAATAAAATTTATTTCACTAATTTTTTGCTATATTTTTTATTTTCTATTATATATTATTTTTGAGAATATTGTATTTATCTTTATTCAATTAATAGTTATTGCATCTTGAGAAAATAAAAAGAATTAAAATATGATGTTTATAGAGGAGAAATAGCAATATAATAAAGAGTCGGATAGAGAGTGCAATAGGGAGTGGAATAGAAAATCTATTGCAGTTGTTTCATTTGTAAAGGATAATAGGAGAGAAAAAATGCATATCCATAAATAAAACTCAATTTTCTTTTCCTTAGACTAACCTATCCTAATTAGAAAATAAAAAAGAGGAAAAAAAGATATCGATCAATTCTGACTCTTTTTTCCAGTCGAGATGTATAGATGGTAATCATGAATATACAAAAAATGTGTAGAATTGTATATAAAAAAAAAAAGACCTGCATATGTATCATGTGGTGATTTCAAGATAAAACATGGTCAGAAAATTAGATTGGGATCAAATTTTGCTAATTTGAATTTGTAAGAGACATAAAAAAGTGAAGGACAAAAAAATTCATTTAGTAAAACGTGAAAGACATTTTGAACAATTTTTTCCAAATTTAATACCAAAGTAATTTTTAAAAATGAACGTCACCGTATTAAAAGTTATTCTGTGGCATTGTCACTTGCCAAGACTCATTGAGAATTACTTCCTTTTATTATTATTATTATTATTGTTGTTGTTGTTGTTATTATTATTACTACTACTACTAGTCTACTACTACTACTCTATTAAGGTCCTCTCGTGCATATTTTTTCTGTTAATGATAAAGCCCTTCTCTGGCAATTTATTGCTTAAAGGTGTTCAATATAATTGATAACCTCTTTTAAGATACATAAAATTAAAAGTAAAGGAAGGAAAAACAGTCAATATAGATTTCTAATATTTGGGTATTAAAGAAGATCACAATAGCTATATACAGGGAATTGACTTGAGGAAAGTTGAAAAAGAGACATCAAGTAGGTGGTTTTGTTAGCCTTTTTTATTGACATGTATCAACAGAGAATAAGGGAAACTTTGACTTGAATATTAATATTAGTGACAACTAAAAGTTGTTTTGTTAGCCTTTTTGATTGAAATGTATCAATTAAAAGGACTAATTATACTTTACACCACTCAAATCTTTTTCACTTTGTACCCTCAACTTTAATTTTAGATACTTTGCACTCTAAATCCTCAAGCTTGTCTCATTTAAATTCAATCAACAACAATGTTTGTAAAATTAATGAGTTAAAGAATAGTGAAAATTAATATCAATGTATCATTTCTTCTAACTATGATATCTTGGCTCTTTTTGCCCACTTTCAGTACATTGTCGTTGATTTTTTATGGTCCCAATTACTAATATTATTAGCAAAATTAATGGAATAAAGGATAGTATAAATTAATGACAATATATTATTTTATTTTTCCTACAATATCTTGACACCTTTTCACTACTTTTAGCACACTATCAATGATTTGTTGGATCCTCTGTGCCATTAATTTTGCTAACGTTGTTACTGATTGAATTTAAAGGGAACAAATTTAAGAATTTAAGATGCAAAGTGTCCAAAATGGAGAGATTAATGTGTAACGTATCCAAAATTGAAGTTTAAAATACAAAACAAAAAAGTAGTATAATTTGGAGGGTACAAAGTGGAGTTAGTCCCAATTAAAACGATTCCCCTCCTAAGTCTTAACCTCCCCCACTGCCTGAGAGAATGGGGGCTGAGCACACAACTGGCAAAGCTGATTTTAAAAGATTACCAAAATTCAGATTGCTTGACAAATAGGGCAGACTTGATTTCAAGAATAGGAGCTGTCTTACTTCCAAATTTCAAGTCTAGCGAGGACTGATGTGCTGCACCAACTACTAGCAATATAGTCCTATCGGATGTTGGTATTCGGTAACATTGAAAGCAGGTATGAAGAATAAGTTCAACCAACAAAGAATGTTTTAAATTATGTAGTAAAATGCTTCAAAAAGTTCAAGAGAAAGATATATTAATTGGAAGAATGTATAACCTAAAACGAGGAATAAAAGGGAGGGAAAAAAAAAAAAAACAAAGGAGGCCTTGAAGTAAATGTATCCTGAAAATGAAGTTCTACCAATCCTGAAAGGAAAGGCCATCGTATAATATATAAAGTACAGCTGGTCCACTGTCCTCTTCAAACAGCAAAAGATGAGCTTCGGAGACAAGGAAGAATGGCTGGTGCATATTATTAGCTGGAATTGATGTGGACTTTGAAGCTTTTACTTTCCCTTTAGGTTCTTCAATCTTGTCCACTAAATTCGTATTAATGTTAAGGATTAATCTTTCTCACACTGACAGTATCTTAGATGAATGACAACTACGTAAAATTTGAATTTGAAATCCAACTTTTGCACATGTGTCATGAATCTAACAATGATAATATATACATTGTTAGTATATATAAAATTTACCCGTTATGTTAAATGGTATATATTTTTAGACTTGTTCTTGTAACAATCCAGCTATGCCAATCTGTGGAATATTCTGATTCCTCCAAATCTGTCTTCTCTGTGGAATTCACGGCTCCATATTAAGTTAGCAAAGGATTTGAGAGAAAAAGAATCTATTTCCCTCAGTCTAATTAAACAAAGAAGTATACAAATGCTTGATACAGAATTGTAACCAAGTTTGTCCAAGGAAGTGAAGGTAAGAGTTCTTTTTAGATGAAAAAAGAATGAAGAAAATTTCCTTCTGGATATATTTATTCTTTGACACCATTAGAGGTGCAAAAAAGAGCAGAGAACAGTGGAGAATTAAATTCTACCAACCAACCAAACCATCTTGAGAATTCTCCAAAGGGACCACTAGATTGATCATATTTTTAGATCTTTGAAATCCTAAGAGAACAATAGCTTTCACAAAATCTTTACTGCAACAAATGTCAGTTCTTCAGTTTCTCAAAAAAAAAAAAAATTGCAGATTTTATCATATGTGTCTAATGTTGACAACGTCAAGGCAGCAGAATCATAGATTGATTCAACGTATTGACTTTTAACTACAAAATGTTGGTTAAATTCAAAGATCCATTTTGAGTCCATTTCCAGGTGTGAAGCATGACAAACTTTTCCTCTTGTTGTTATCTTTTTTATTTAATTGGAAGAAACAAATAGATCAATCAATTATGCAAGAGAAGTACTAATATTAAAAGTATCAATCACTCTGTTCTTTCCTTTTTCATATATAAAGATATACAATGATTATAAAGTTACAAACAAATGCTGTAAATAAATTTAACATTTGGTACAGAACCACCTTCACCAATAAAATAACATGAATCAACACTATACCACACCCCCATACAGGAGTAGTATACACTTTAACCAACCCCAAAACAAGAATCTAATAAATACATCCATCTTCTATACCTTCAAATTCCTTTTTCAATTGTATAAATATGTTGTGTGAACAGTGAATCAATATACAACCAATCTTATCAGACCTTGATGCCATCATTGTTTAGATTGTTTGTAGGATTGTTGGAATCAAGCAGGTTCTCAAGTGACCTGGCTTTTCTGTTCCGAACCTTACCAGCCTCTTTTAGTAGCTCAGCCAGCCTCTTCTTCTCATCATCCACATCAGGATTTGCTGTCCCAAGCTTTTCCTCTCTCATTCCAACAACAAACTCCAGCATTTTAATTGCATCTTCCAACCTACATAAAGATTCAGATTAACAGACTCGTCCAAAATCAAAAACTGTAATTACGATCCTGTCAGTTCTTCTTTCAGCAAACAGACCATGACCATTTGTCAAAAAATAAGTTAGTCCCACGTTTGTAACTTGCCTATATATCTTACTGCTACTACGGCATATATGTTTCGGAAGACCCTGATACTTTTAAAGTTAAATAAATACAATGGAGGTAAGATCACTAGCAAAAAGTTTGAATCACAATATAATGCAAATAATTGATGGAAAGAACAAATTGGAGGTCGAAATTGAGATTCAGAAAGTGGCATACCTGCCCACTGCATCGTAAGTGCCAGCAAGATTGCTATAAACACCAAGCGTATCGGGGTGATATGGTCCATATTCTTGTTCCAAAATGCTTCTTGATTCTTCAAACAGATCCAAAGCTTCATTTATTGCATATCGCTGTACACAAGCAAGCCCCATTTGATTAAGAGCAATACCAAAGAAGGCTGATTTCTTATCTCCACAGGCGCGGAGTTTCAGCACTGCACTTTTGAACGAGTTGTATGAATCTGAGTAGTTTCCCAACATGTAGTACAAAACTCCCATCTGAGCCTCAATTCCTGCTATTGTATTTTGCTGACCAGGGGCATTATCATACATCTTCAGTGCCTTCTGCAGCAACTTAAGTGCCTGCTCAAGCTCATTCATTGATTCATAGATGGCAGATATGTCAGTCAGACCACTAGCAATCTCCTCTGGAGCAAAACCAGGTGGGGGCTTCCCAAAAATTCTAAGGGCATTTTCACAATAGGATTTTGATTCCTTAAATTTTCCTGTCTTGTTATACAAGTCAGCCAGACGAACAAAAACTG